TCAAAAAAATTATGTTATAGCCCGGTGAAATTGGCAGTCTCTATTACCACTCCCAACCCTGCCTCTGCTTTAAGTCACTGTAACAAAGCACACAGCTGCTCTTGGAGCGAATCAGAAATGGGGGGGGGGGGGGGATGCTACTTTAACACAAGTGCATGTAAGAATGACTAGCCTGTCTCAATCATGGGTTGGCAATGAGATGAAGGCAACATCATGGAGTCAAGGCAGAAAAAAGATGTTGCCAGGACATGTTAGTGTTGTGGTGTGGTGCAGGTTGCAAAAGCCCTGCGAGTGAGCCGATGGGAGAACCAACATTTCTTCGTAGAACTGAGTTTCAAGCTGCATTCAAAGAACTGAATACAGCCTTTGCTTCTCATTTACTTATTTATCTACTTGGGCGTGGACACTCTGAATGGTGCGTAAACAAGAATGCAACATCACTTCCACATGCATGAAAGCATGGTAGTTAGTAAGATATGGCTCAGGAAAGATCTCATTTGAATCTCACATCAGGTTTAGAGAACCTGAGGCTGCAGTCCTAGGACTGTTTTATCTGGATTGGCAGCATCTTCCAATGAAATCAGTGTGACTTATATCTGAGTATAGAATTACGTTGTTGGTCTTAATATTTAGTAATTTTCTGCCTAGAATAGAAGTTTTCAGGTGCTATAAAAGTGATAAAGCAAAGTTGGACAGAATAGTTGGACAACACAAAATAGGATGTTTTTAGCTGTTTCTCATCCTCACACCCCCCCCCCCCCGTGAATGAATTATTCAGAACAAATAATATGCCCTCAGTGTTAAACTTTGCTTGCACATTATGAATCATGAAACATTTCACAGCTGGGAATGGCATGGTCAAATAGTCCCAACGTAAATTTTGCAATCTGGTTATACTAAGCAAATACAAATGTGTGGGGTCTGTGTGGACAGACCTGTTCAACACGAGACAGCAGCTCTTATGGTATGAACTGATTAATTAACTCCAGACCACTAACATTAAAATAATACTGAGGGTTGACCTCATATAGACAAGAAACGTTAATAGGTAATAAAGAGGGTTTTCCATGAAGTTTGATGCTGAAGTTTGATGCTGAGCAATAACAAAAGAAGAAGTCAAGTCAGAGCTCGCATCTCTATGATAAGGATATAAGGTATAGTGTTACAGGATACAGTAGTAGAACACCTGCTTTGCGTGCAATGCTCTGCAAGTTTGAGAGTGAAGACTGTAGCAATAACACATATTTAACTGTACTTTAGATTAAAGGAAATCTTAACCCATTATTAAATTTGAAAGCGAATGGCTAGCCAAGTTAGGAGTTAATTCCTCTGACCAGTGAGCTAATAGTAGTGAGACTGAAAATCCACATTTCGCCGGAGTTTGCTTTCAGCTTTATTAGTCTGTAATCTTATAGATTATCCACAGTTCTGCCCTGCGTCAACAATCCGCTGCAGCTCCAGTGTGGTGGAAGGATTCGGCCAGTTTTGCTCTGTCTCCAGTATACAGTATTGTTGGTAACAGTTGGTAATTAAAGCACAAAAAATACTGTGAGTACTTCCACTTGGTATATCTATTACTAGACAACATCACCTCAGGCTCCGAACAAAACCTAAATACATATCAGGCAGAAAATTGTCAGTTCATCTCTGTGCTGAAGGATCTTTTGTTCCTTGAGAGAGCATGAAAACATTTTCAGATATAAGAGTGCAGTCAAGTAATCCATCTGGTATTGACAGTTATTACCACTTTTATGCTGATAAATTGTTATTGTTCTTAAATATTTAATTCATTTTCTGTTGTCAGGTTTACTGCTATTTATTCCTGATTTGCTAGTTTCTTTGAAGACCCTTTTTAAAGTAATATAGAAATGACCATCAGAAAATATAGATATGATCTGTTATTTTCTGGAAAACAGGTATGTCATGTGATAGGGATAATTATGAGCAATCTCCTGCAGTTCCTGATCAAGAGTCGAATACTATTTATGAATCCTTTGTTGTACATCTGGAGTTTTAGAAATTTTCTTTTACCTTTTCATTCCTATTTTGAAACTATTTTTGGCACATCTGAAAGAGAGTGTGTTTTGTGTGGATTTTTTTTCTCTGAATTTTATTTTCACATTGCTTCAATTTATTCAACTACACTTAATTTCAGATTGGACTCAGTCTTCTCCAAATTACCTCAGATTACTGAGTCTTATTGAACTGTAACCAAATATTAGCCTATCAGTTTGTGACAGAACGAGGGTAAACTGTACAACTTTGCCTCTGATCTCCTTGTGATCCCCATTCTCTCTTTGTACCCCATTGTCAAAGTGCCAAAATGTGGTGTCAGTATTATTGCTGAACTGCTAAATTTATAAAATATTGCAAAATATTTTTGTGAGCCACCCAGAGTCACCCTCTGGGGGAGATGGGCGGCATATAAATTTAATAAATAAATAAGTAAAATAAAAGGGAGTTATGGTAAGCCTATAATAGGCTTAATGGTCTATATTACTAACAAAAAAACCCTCCCCAAAGCACAAAGAATTAGGGAATTTTGTACCTGCCCTCTCAGGAGGTATCAACAAGTGGCCAATCAAGCTTACTGCAGCCCTTGGAGGTGCCCTAGAATAAGCTTCATTAGGCAAGGAAGCTTTCATAATCTAAATAAAAACTGATGTACAGGCATACCTCGGAGATATTGCGGGTTCAGTTCCAGACCACCGCAATAAAGCAAATATTACAATAAAGCGAGTCACACAATTTTTTTGGTTTCCCAGTGCATATAAAACTTATGTTTACACTATACTGTAGTCTATTAAGTGTGCAATAATATTATGTCCAAAAAACAATGTACATATCTTATTTAAAACATTTCTTAAAATAAGATAACAATGAAGACAACAATCAACTGACTCTTCCTTTCATGAAAGACTTCTCTGTAGCATGCAATGCTCTTTGATAACTGTAATATCTGCAAAGTGCAATAAAGCAAAATGCAATAAAATGAGGTATGCCTGTATCTTTTTTTCTAGGCCACTGATATAGGCAGCTAGGTAACTTTTAACAGATTTTTAAAGTTGTCAGACAATTTTATGATATTATTAAGCTTTCACAAATTGCCATCTA